ATTTTCATTAACATCTGGTTAATGTTTTTTTCTTTCCATTTCACTTTTACGTCATTCATCATTTTTAAAATGTAGTCATCCTTCTTGGATTTTATTTTAGTTTCGTCTAAAGTCATGGTTAGATCCTTTATTGTATTACGCAAAAAAATGTTCATCTTCAGAAATTAAAGAAGCAATCACCGGCTCCTCAAAAGGTTCCTTAAATTTAAGGATTAATCTGGACAACACATCTGCATATCACAATTTCTTTGATGGCAAACACTCCATCTTAAATTCATAGTTTAGGAAAATCGTTCCCCAACGTGGCAACATGGCTGTATGTTTCGGCATACTATTTATAAAACCAGACAGTAATAGTGAATAGCGTAGCGTACGATCCATTTTGCGATAACTGTTCCTGTGAGCAAACATTCTACTCATAGCAGATGGACGATTCCGTTTTCCACAATTAGGTTACAGAAGGTCGCTCGTCTTCCTACACAACACATTTTCTATCCTTATGCAGACAGTGAGCTAAAAAATAATTTAAAAAAATGATTGGATTTCTCGGTAAGCCATTTCACAGTCATTTTTATCAATTGATGACGTCACTAATACGTTGCAGTGATTAGCGATAAATTCTACTATAAAATGTTGCCATAAGGTCAATATAAGGGAAGAGCGAACGAGAAAAAAGACCAGTGAAAAGCGAAAATAAAATGAAGAAAAACAAAGAAGAAATCTACAAGATGGCAATCACCATAGAAAGTCAGAACAAGTAAAAAAAAAAAAAAAAAAAAACGGGGAAGAAAAGAAAGCGAAAAGAAAAAAAAAGTGAAACATTATGACCAAACGCAGAATGGATGAGTAAGAAGAAAGAAAAAGGAAGATTGCAAATGATAGGACCTGAAGAGAGGGAAGATGATAATGAACAAAAAAGAAAGACTGAAATGAAAATGATCTGAATTGAAAAAAAAAGCGAAGATACTGAAGAGAAAAGAAATAAATAAATGAAGAACGAAATAAAAGAAAAAATTATAAGACAGCAATGTAAAGAAAACAAATGAATGATTTAATGAAGAAAAAAAATGAAGCGAATAACAGTAGAAAGCATAAAAGGAATCAAAAGAAAGCGATGCAATAAATAGAAGCATCGTGGCTAATAAAAACAAGATGTTATAAAACAAAGCCATAAAACGTTAAAGAAAAGCCTCACAAGGAATCAAAGTTATGATGGCCTAATACACAGAGCTAGCACCGACATAAAGAAATAGATGATACTAAAAAGAAAATGTATGGAAAAAAATAACAATTAATCCACATTAGAAAGACAGGAAGGAAAAACGAAATAAGGGAAATGTAAATCGATTGGGAAAGCAGTGGCGATTATGATGTGCGCTTAATGGAAAGGGAAAATATGGACGCCATTTTGTCTAGATGGTACGTGACAAGGATGTGTATGGCCAGACGGTAAGAGTCTATCAAAAAGAGAGAATGCGAGAATGAAATGCAATAAATAAGAAGGTAAATGGAATAATAAAAGAAATGAAAGAATGATAAGAAGAAAAATGCATGAATAACGAAGAAAGGCAGAGGAATAAAAGATCGAATGAAAGTTCATGAATTGACATATGGAGAAAGAAAAGAAGGAATGAAGAACGGAAGTCTGAAGAAGGATAAAAAAAAATGGAAATAAATTTAAGATTATGACGAAAGAAAGAAGGAAGAATGAAAGAATTAAGTATTTTAAAGAGAGTGAAAGTTAATGACTTAAGAAATGAATGAGTACGAAAACATAAATTTGAAGAATTAAAGAAAAGGGAGAAAGACAGAATGGACGAGCAATGACAAAATGAAAAAAGTAACGAAGAAGGATAGAAGCGAATGAACTGAGAAATGAATAAAGAATGATTGGTTGAAGAATTGGAATAAATATTATGAAATAAAAATGAAAGAATGAATAAAAAAACGAAAATGAAAGAATGAACGATACTAAAGAAGGCGGTAGAAAGCGGATGAACTGTGAATTGAAGGAATAAAGGAAAAATGGAAAACTGAAAATATATTATTCATGTAGGAAAGAATAAACGATGATAAAAATAATTTAAGAAAGATGGTTTACGAATGAGCGAATAAATAAAGAATAGAATATGGAAATAACGAAAGAGAAGGAAGACGAATGTGAGAGGTTGATGAATTGAGGAATGAAAAACTTTGAGGAATAATGAATAATGGTGGATGAAAGAATGGGAAAAAATGAACGGAGAGCCAAAGAATGAACGGAATTTTATAAAATAAATTTGAAAAAAATATAGAGAATAAATTTATAATATAAACAGTGAAAGAAAGACAAATTACATACAAACGAAGGTAGAAAGAATGAAAACGGCTGAAGGGAAGAAAACAAAAGCAACTGAATGAAAGAAGGAATAGATGAAAAAATACATATAATGTTATCAGCACCGACTAATGAAAGAATGAATTCAATATTAAAGTTGATGGCGAAGAATGAATGATATATCAGGACATCCCATAAGTTCTGTCTGAAAACAAGTGACCAGATGTTACATTTAATTACAGATTCAATCAACCATGTATTCTCCCTGATTATCTATGACTTCCTTCCATCTATTAACAAGCTTACTAATTCCATTACTGTAAAATTCTTTTGGCTTTGATTCGAAGAACTCACAAATGTCAGTTTTAACCTCTTCCTGTGTTCCAAAAGCTGTTTCTTCCAAATGATTCTGTAAGCTACGAAACAAATAGTAGTCTGAAGGAGCAAGATCGGGAGAATAAGGTGGAAGAGGAATTTTCTCCCAACCAAGTTCTTCGATCTTTTGTGACATGATTGTTGCATTAGGTGGTAAGAATTCAGTGTGGATTATTCATTGGCGATCTCACCAGATTGAAAGAAGAACCTTTTTGCCCATGAAGTTCCCTTCTCGGTTGTGGCTGGGGTCCTTCCCCTTTACCAAGCCACTGTCTACGACGCTTAACATTTCGATAAAAGATCCATATTTCGTCGCCAGTCACAAGTCTATCCAAAAAAGGTGAAACAAGTTGGTGAGAATGGAGAGAAGAGCAGATGTCAACTCGAGGTTTGAGGTTGTTTTCAGACAATTTACGAGGCACCCATTTTCCAAGTTTAGGAACTTTTCCAAGTTGTTGAAGATGACGATGAACAGTTTGAACTGAGAACCACTGCCAATTCCTCAACTGATAAAGCAGGGTTTTCTTCAAGCTTTATCTAACTAAAATGTCTGTGATCTTAATTTATTGTTTTTTTTTTTATTTTACAAAAAAAGGATCAGTGGAAAATGTCATGAAGTCATTTCTGGCCTTAGATCTCTGCTTGGGACCCGGAAGCAAATGTGTATCAAAGGAACTTATAATAACAAGAAAGACTCGTGAAAATTTAAATTTTCTGATGAATCTTAATTCTTAACTTTTCCTAAATAAATGATTGAATAAGCTCAGAGCGAGTTCTACGACAATAAAATATCCGTAGAAAATCCCGATAGCGTCGTTAAATATTTTAGTTTAGTAATTGTAATAAAATATTGCAATGTCGATCATAAATGTGAATGCTGAGCGTTATTTTAAGAAGAGAGTAGGAATAAAAAAAAAGAAAGATTTGAAATTCACAATTTTTTCCATTTGACTGAACAAGCTGTTAAAGATTTACAGATTTTCTTTTTACATATTCTCACTGAAACCAAGTAGTGTTTTCCCCATTTTCCACGAGGAAGGAATTTATCTATATATATGTACATGTGTACAGTCAACGAAATTATTCGTACACCCATCAATTGTGAATATTTTTATCAATTTCTCAGGATCTAATACTCGTATGATGCAAGGTTTCTTTATATAACAATAAGCACAAAAAAGGAATGGAAAACTCAATTTTCAGAACAATAGGTTAAATGCAACAAATTTGACAGGCGAATTATGCAAAATAGAAAAAGACAAAATTATTCGGACAGTAGAAAATGTCGCTTTAAATTAATTGATTCGTGTAAGTATAAGTAATTTTCATAATTATTTTATCGGTGAAGTCTACTTGACTGTTTATTCAGTAGAATATTTGCGGTATTTTCCCAATTTCTGGACAATCGACAGAAAAACTATATAAACATTTGATACGCCATGAGCAGATATGAATGCACGTGAGAGATTCATGGAAGATTGAAGTTTAAATATAGTAAATTCGACCTTGCTAACCGAACGCTCCTTTGTGGCCAAATCGGTAAAGGCACGTCAAGCTAAATGACGCTTCCGTAGAGGATACAGCTTCGAATCCTGTCGGATAAAAATTTCTCGGACATTCAGGCCGGTAAATGTTATTTCATTTAATACTGTTTATTATAATTACTTATATATATGAAGTACGTTAAGGAAGTAAGTATTCATCCAAACATATGCCTGCTCAAGATTTATTGTATTTTCTAATTTGAGAAAGATTTTGTATATTGGCATCGCATTTTCGGATGAGCTGTCTGATGTTCGTCTTTGTCTTGTTGGTTTTCTTCATGAACATTCCACCATCCTAGTCATTGTGAATAAACGTGTGCTGTCCGAGTGTTAGACAAAATTCCGTTGGCTACATCCTGGTTTTATCTATCTACCTAAACTTCATAATGTTCACTTCTTACAACCTCCCTTTTCCCTCATATCACATATCATCACTTTTAAATAGTATCTCTTTGATTTGATTGGCTTTCGAGTCTTGTATTCGATGAACTTTCTTTTAAAACAGTGTTTTGGTGTAAACTTTCACTTTTACATATAAGATTGATTCCATCGATAAAAAAACAGTTTTTAGTTGGAGAAAGGAAATGCATCGTAAACAAGTTCGTAATTTTTTTACAATATATCATTCACTTGCACGCGTTTATATAAAAGGCAGTCAGAAGTTTGGAAAAACTGTCTTCCTGCCAGGGTTTACTTCTAGAAGCGAAACTGTCTCTCCGGGCAGATTCTTGCAAATGCTTTAATTAGAACAAACGCGTAAAACCATGTCAATGGTAGACGAGACAAAACCCCAAATAATCACCCGACTTTTTCCCCTCCAATATTTGCCATCTGTCTACATGTGACGATTTCCAATAATCGAATATTCCAGTAATTACAAGCGAATGGATGAAATTCGAGTTAAACATTTCCTGCCTTCAAATATTTATGCATTTGGTAACAGTTTCTATTTCTTTTCTGTCTCTCTCTCTCTCTCTCTCTCTCTCTCTCTCGCTCATCTTCTACTAGGTGCCGCATGTGTGAGCGATCATAGCCCTCCACATCTACCTTTCTTCGCAGCTTTTCGCAATATTCACATTTTTCTATCCCTCCCATCCTCTATTCTGCCATCAATTTACACACCTCCTTCAAGAAGCTTATTCACTGTTTCCGTATATCAATCTTCTCTTCAACATGTCCTGTGAGTATCAAATTTTCTAAGTCTTCTTTCCTTATGATGTGAGACCCAAAAATGTCAACTGTCTCGGATTCTAAAAGTTTAAGTTTAAACTGCAAGGTCAACTCCGAGGAAAATTGGTTTACTGTGTCGTTCTATGCAATATATTTCGCTAGAATCTCTCTTTCATTTTATATGTCTACGATTCGTGCACACATTGAATATTGCAGCTACATCTGGTCTGGTGCTTCTGATATATATCTAGAGATTTTTGACAAAATCCAAAGAAGATTCTGCAATATTATCTGTCTTGACCTGGCATCTCGGCTACATTCCTACTGCTGTAATGTAGCCTAAAAAAAAAGCTCAGAAAAACATACATAGGTTGTACTTAAGGCAACTTTAAGAAAAATGGTGTAATCACAAGTCATCCTTTAAGCTAGAAAGTCTTACGAATTCTACTTGACAGTCCAACCATGCGTAGAAATTAAAGATCCGATTGTAAACTTTATTTTTTTGTAAAAAAGCAAAATCTTACAACACTCATAGTAATATTTGCAAACTTTGTCAACGAGAAAAGTTAGCTATAATAACATTTCCAGACCAAAAGTCCTTTTGAATAAGAGATCGAAAATTATGATCCCTTGTATACATATTAAAAAGTTCCTTTTGAGTTCATATGAAGTAGGATGAAAAGAAAGTATGTATATTTCATTTACCCCCCCCCACACACGCACACACAAATAACCACCACCACCACCACCACCGCCGCCGCCGAAATTACCGATACATTTCCAATACACTTGCAGTCTCGGATTCTAAAAGTTAAAGTTTAAGCTGCAAGGTCAGGTATATGCACTATATTTCGCCAGAATATCTCTTTCATTTTATATGTCCACCATTCGTGCACGCATTGAGAATTGCAGCTACATCTGGTCTGGTGCTTCTGATATGTATCTTGAGATTATTGACAAAATCCAAAGAAGATTCTGCAATATTATCGGTCTTGACCTGGCATCTCGATTACATTCCTACCGCTGTAATGAAGCCTCTCGTGACCGTTCTCTTGCTTCAGTGATAACTACAATCTACAAAAATTTAAATGCAACATCATTCGCCATCTTCTGTCTTCCTGAATCCCGTTCATCTTTGATCTTTTCCTTAATCTCCCCTATACTCAGTCTTCCCTTTCTCTTTCACACCCTGCAAACCCCTGCGTGATAGTGGCATTCTCGCCTTGCTTGGGGTGAAATAAAAAAAAAAAGATCTAGAATGGGAACTAAGTTTAATCAGTTTTTTTTCCGCACTCTCTTCTTGGATGTGGAACTGTTGTAACCTAGGAACGGGATTGGAAATTAAATAATAATCTTTATAACATCAACAAAATACAATACTCGCCAACGGCGTGAAGTAGGTAAACCGCTGCTAGTGGTGAATTACTTAGACTGCATATTACCCCCACTTGCATTAGTGTCCAACATATTTATGAGGATAGGGACGTACCCATTAGTGTTCATAGGTACGGTATATAACAAACACTCTCATGAGATCAAGACTATCATTTGCAAGTCAAACAGGTGCCAAACTTGTTCAGAAATATCTAAATGTTTTCCGCTTTGTCATAGATTTTCTGATGACTGTTCTGATATATGAAATGTATATATCATTTTCCCATATATATATATATATATATATATATATATATATATATATATATATATTAGGTTGGCCAGAAAGTCTTGATACACTTAGGAATCATGTTGTAACCTACAAAGGTTACTGAATGAGGAATAGCCAAAACGGAGGTTGGAAATGAAATGGTAATCTTTATAACATCAACAAAATACAATACTCGCCAGCGGCGTTAAGTAGACAAACCACGGCTAGTGGTGGACTACTTAGCATATTACTTACGATAGTGTTCATTGTATTTATCATGATTAGGGTATACCCATTAGTGATTCTAGACACCGTATATAACAGGAACACTTCCGACTTTTTGCTTAGAAGTCAAGTTTGATCATCAAAGTACTGGCTAAGGTGAAATTGAAATTAAGTAAGATTGTGCTACATCAAATTCCCAAGTGGAAAATATTAGCCCGCTATGTAAATCAACATTTGAATATTTTTATCTTTTTAACCAGGACTTGAAAAGCGCGTTTATAACACTGTTTGAAATTTCATAAGCTAATTCGGAAACAAAAAGCTGACCGTTAAAATGGCTAGATGCTGCCGTAAGTTCTGTGCTAAGAGTCTCTTCTTTCACACTTCTTGCTTGTGGAACTATCTTCCGGCTTCTGCTTTTCCAGTCATCTTTGATCTTCAAAAATTTAAATGCAATGTCAGTCTCCATCCTCTGTCTCTTTAGATCCACTTCTCTTATTGTCCTCTCTTCTTAATAATTTTTTCTCAGGCTTTTTTAGTTTCAGATATTAATAAATAAACTTCGTCATTGCTAATATAATCCGTACATTGTATTCTCGATACTCCTCTGTAAAACCACATCTCTGTTGCCTCAAGTCTTCTCTTAATCTGTCAGAAAAAAGAATTTCACCCCTAGAAAGGAGATAATGTCACTAAGACGCAAATGGTTACTGGAAATGAAAGAAAATAGGAAAATTTTAATGAGGAAAAAGGATAGATTTCCGGAAAACGGAATTTTACGATTAGCATTTTATATTTTTTTTTTAAGATTGCAGATGGCAGCAAAGTAAGAAATCAGAAAGATTTCCACAGGCAAGAAGTGCAAGAAAAGAAAATATCAAAATAGAACTGACGGTTCTGTCTAGCTATTTTAATAGTCAACTGATGAAACCTACAATTGGTTGGTGGTTATTTTCAAGAGATGCTATCAATTTGACTTTGTCGGCCCTATTTGCTAAACTCAGCTCAGTACCGGATAAGTTGGAATTGTAACTAAGTAAGATTGAGTCACGTCATTTTCCCAAGTGGGAAATATTAGCCTGCCATGTAAATCAACATTTGAATATTTTTATCTTTTTAACCAGGACTTGAAAAGCACGCTTATAACACTGTTTGAAACTTCGTAAGCTAATTCGGAAAAAAAAAAAAAAGTTTAGAGTTGAAATGGTTAGATGCAGCCGTAAGTTCTGTGATAAGAGTCTCTTCTTTCACACTTAATGCTTGTGGAACTCTTTACCGGCTTCTTGTTTTCCTGATAACTTCGATCTTCAAATATTTAAATGCAATGTCTATCGTTATCTTCTGTCTTCTTAATTCTTGTACTTTTATTGTTCTCCCTCAATAATGTTTTCTTTTTTTCATATTCTTTCACGCTCAGTAATAAATTGCGTCTTAGTGGCTTTATTGCCTTGCTAGGGGTAGAATGAGTTAAATAAAACAATCCAGAGTATTGCTGCATCCAACGAGGTTCCAACTGACAACATTGACGAATTCCTTTGCAAGTCCAGATTAATAAATACAGAGATGGATAAATATGAGATTTCTCCCTTAATCCAAAAGAATCTTGGATTCTGGCACAACTACAGTTCAAAGATATTAGTTTCAACAGAAAGAACTAAAATTCTTTTTTTTTTCTAATGATATTTTCCTCTGTCTTAATAGTTTGCTTAGTTTCTGGATGTTATCTTTCCCTATTCCTAACATGCTTGTAACTTTTCCCGTCGCCTGATGGTACGCTCTACAAATAATTAAATTTCTGCAAATTGTTAATTTTGATATGTCTAATACGTAGCACATATCATGGGCTATGTCTTTGGCAGTCAACTTGGCAGTATATCTTTTTTTTATGGTTAATAGTCCTTTCTTCTTGCTTTCCTTTACTATCTTGTCTAATAGTTTTTTTTTTTCAGCTTTCTTATTCTTCCATCACCAGAGTATCATCTGCATATTTAAAGATTATGTCCACCAATAACTCCCCTGGTAAGTTTTTTTTCTTTCTATTTGCATCGATTGTATACGATAATACCGAATAATCTACGAATCTCTTTCTGAATCTGTTTTGTTGGCTCTGATTGCATTCTCATTATTGCTTGAGATCACACTGATGTTTTTTGCGTCTTCATCTTTTATGTACTGTGTCCCTTCAAGATGTTGTCGATCATGGCTCTCCACAACTTCCTATCCTTTGTACCTTTTAATAAATTTAGTCTTTTTGCTATCTCCCAATCCAATCACTCAAACTCTCCAAGTAGGTTGTTGGTTGTTTCAACCCGTCCTGTGAGTGTCAAACTTCACAATCACTCTTTCCTCATTATGTGCCACAGAAATTTCAAAATGTCGCTTCCTGATGTTAAGGAGAAATGTAATTTTTGTTTCCGTTTATTTCAAAACTTCGTCGTTGAACGCGTTTTCAGTCCATGTCATCCCCAGCATCCTTCTGTGGAACCAGATTTCTGTTGCTTCAAGGATCATCTTCGCCTGTGAGGAGATTGTTCTGCATTCACTTTCATATAGGTGGAGTATTATTTAAATTAAAAGTTCAGTACTCTTTTCTTTCTTTCTAATGAAATATTTCTGTTTCTTAATACTTTGCTTAGCATTATGAAGGCATCTTTTGCTATCGCCTTCGCATTTTAGTGTCGCACGTTAAATCATCTCCGAGATATACATATTTCTATACCTGTTTGTTTTCGTTATCTCCATTTTGCGTGCTCAGTTGCTCCTTTTGTTAACAACTTTGCATTTAGTCTTTTTGAAATCGATGTTTAGTCGTTTCTTCTCGCGTTCCTTCACTACTATCAGTGGGATTACTTGTAGCTTCTTATCGGTGTCTGCTATCAACAATGAGTCATCTGTATATCTTATGTTGTTAAGATTGTGACCGGAAGCATTTACTCCTGGTAAGAATTCTTGGAGGGGCAGTGAAGTAATGGATATCGGCTCGGATTGAGGAATTCCAGTTCGAATTCCAGTCATATCCATTACACTCACTCATGTACTAATAGCCTCGGGAAAGGTATGAACCCTCTTCTCCTCCCAGCTATGGGTAAATAGGACAGACTTGGTTCTATAGCCTCGGATGGCATCTGGTCTACCGCAGAAAGAAATGGCAACCTACTGCGGGAAAAAAATTCTGCCTTGTCAGTCATGTATCGAAAGATACATGATCGCCTAAGCGTATATCACGCAGGGCACATAACTGACTGAAGTAAAAAAAAAAAAAATCTCCCCCCACCAATCATCAGGTGGAGTAATGGATAACGGCTTGGGTTGAGGAATCGGAGAGCCGGGTTCGAATTCCAGTCGAATCTATTACATTCAATTACGTTCTAATATCCTTGGGAAATGTATGAATCCTCTGCTTCTCTACCCCCAGCTATGGGTAAATATCAAGACAGACCGTGTTCTGTATCGTAGAAAGAAATGGCAACCTACTGCGAGAAAAAATCTGCCTCGTCAGCCATGTATCGAAAGATACATGATCGCCTAAGCGTGTATCACGCATGGCACATAACTGACTGAAAAATTTTAATTCTCTCAGAATCTCTTCACTGCTTAGACTAAGTCTGGTGAGAAGATACATCCTTGTCTTACATGCCTTTCTATTTTTTGCTTACTGATTTCTTTCGTCTCAATTTAAAAAAAAATGAACATGTTGTTAATATTCTTTTGATTATCATGACTGTATTTCTCCTTTCTTTGCAGTGTATTATTTGGAATGTTTGATTATACAATAGACTGAAGGATATAAGAGGCTATGCATACAGGTTGTTATCGCTTCACAGCTTGCTGTATCAATACGCCAAAATAAAAACGATGTTACGACAATGAAAAATGGCTGCCATTCTTTACAGTTTTTTTATTTTTATTTTTAAGACATTCAGTTGTAGTTTGTTTTTTGCTTTTTTTTCCTGTGAAGCCTCCGTGTCCATATATTGCAGAGGCGGAAAGGAACGTGCACGCTTGCTTGACTGAAAGAATGTACTTGACGTCTCTCAGGAAATTTGAGCGAGTCCTTTACTCTATATGATAAGAAAAATACAGTGAGCAGAATAGAGCCGCAAACATTAATGCATAAGTAAAAGGAAGAAAGTGATATATGCGTATTTACAAATATTCGCTTGATTTATCGAAACAGGATAAATGACTCAAAACAGATCAATTTATCTCTGTCCATCTCTCGATGTCATCTGAACAATTGATGGAATTATCTATCAGGAAAGTAGTTTTTCTTCTTATCACTGGATGTTGAGCTATCAAAATTGCTATGATAACCTGCGGCCATCTTCAATGTTCATTTTTTTCTAGCCTTGATCACAGTTACATTTGAGTAATGGCAAGAATATGATTGTGAGGACATAATTATGATATAGATTTTTTTTTATTTGGATTCGTGGAGTCATATATGATTTTTTATTCTTGATTTTTTTTTATTCTTTCACTCTTAATACAGCCGAGGCTTGCAGTGCCTATTGTCAAAAGTACATTCCTTTTGTGTGAGAATATTGAGATAATATTTGCGAAAGTCAGTCATTAATAAATTTATGTATACTTAATTGGAAATATGCGTTGACATTTATCTATTTAGCGAGAACGCTAACAATATCGTTTTTATCTATCATTCACTCAATCTATCTATCTATCTATCTATCTATCTAACTTTAGTCTATAAATATCTATTTTCGGACTATCTTCTCTCTAATAATCGCTTTTTTGAAATCTATCTATCTATTTATCTATCTATCTATCTATCTATTGTATCTGTATTCCGTTCAAATACCCATTTTATCTTTCTTCCTTCCTTTCTTCCTTTCTTTCTTTCATTTCTTTCTTTATTTATGTTTAGAGTCATTTATCTAACTTAACTTATCCATATTTTTCCTTCTGTTTATTTATTTATTCGCTTTAATATAATATAGTTTTTTTTAATATTTTCAGTCACTCAATCTATCTATCTATCTATCTATCTATCTATCTATCTATCTATCTATCTATCTATCTCAGTCTGTTCATATCTAACTGTGTCTGTTCGTATCTATCTATCTATCTATCTATCTATCTATCTATCTATCTATCTCAGTCTGTTCATATCTAACTGTGTCTGTTCGTATCTATCTATCTATCTATCTATCTATCTATCTATCTATCTTTCTATCTCTGTTCATATCTAACTGTGTCTGTTCGTATCTATCTATCTATCTATCTATCTATCTATCTATCTATCTATCTATCTCAGTCTGTTCATATCTAACTGTCTGTTCGTTCGTATCTATCTATCTATCTATCTATCTATCTATCTATCTATCTATCTATCTCAGTCTGTTCATATCTAACTGTGTCTGTTCGTATCTATCTATCTATCTATCTATCTATCTATCTATCTATCTATCTATCTATCTCAGTCTGTTCATATCTAACTGTGTCTGTTCGTATCTATCTATCTATCTATCTATCTCAGTCTGTTCATATCTAACTGTGTCTGTTCGTATCTATCTATCTATCTATCTATCTATCCTATCCTATCCTACTCTGCATAATATTATTTTATATATCTTTCTCATTTTTAGTATGTTTTGTTTTTCTTTCTTTCTTTCTTTCTTTCTTTCTTTCTTTCTTTCTCAGCCTAAAGGATAAAAACAAAAATACAAAAACGACTTTAACAAATAAATAAACAACTCTTGAAAATTTCCAACTGCAGTAGCAACGGAAACGGAAGCACTTTTAACTGGGACGACAAATAATGATATAGCAAATATGTTGCTTTCCGCCTAAAATTAAAGAAAAGTTTTGGAAGAAAACTTCATTTTATGATTACAAACAGCGATGCCAGTGGATTGGAGAACATTAATTTCCTGAATAAATTGTTTTAACCAAAGATTTTTCATTACCCGTAGAGGGTGGATCATTATTCAGTAATAAATTATAACTATTAGAAATGGTGATATGTAATTTTTAAATTTTAATTATATTTTAAGGTAAAAGATAAACAGTTACGAAAATTTATAGTTAATTCTTACTTTTTGTATAATGGGAAAGTTTTATGAACAAATTTAATAAGTTTTAATTTTTCATGTAAACATAAGAAGCAAGGTTCATTTAAAGATTTACAAGTTCTAGTCTTTAATATTTTCCATTTTACTGTAGCGGTTTTATTAACTTCTTTTAAGTTCCAAATATATTTAGAAAGGTACGTCTTATTTCCAGACGGGTTATTTACGAAAGATAATATATGGTGGTACCAACTAGTTTTAAAGGAATTCTTGATACTCTCGACATAATTTTTAACTGTTGGATTTTCTGTAGTAGAAATTATAGGCAAATAAGAGAATCTGTTAGACATCGGTTTTGCAATGGACATTCGTTAGAATTTCTACAATTACACTTGTTGGTTTTAGCTGCCTTTGTTGCTTTGTGTTGTGATCAAGTAAATGGTTAAGTAATAACAAAAACCAAGTTTGCAGATATATCGTATATTAAACAGTAAGTACACCAGAAGAGTATTATATGCCTAGTGAGTGTGCATCGATGGAACTAGCACTGGATCTATTCCCTGTTCCCTGTTCCCCGAACCTTCTTGCCTACGAAACTTATAGTAGGCGGAAGAGTCTAACGTAGACTCTTAAGTGGGAGGACACCAAAACACTTTGGAATGACTATTCTTACTTAGGTTTTTGTATTTATTTTAAAAGTTTATTATTATGGTTTTTAATATTTTTTCAAGATTATCGGTACAGCTATTTCTATCAAAAATCGTACTAAGTGTGTTATTTTTAGGGAAGTGTTTCTCAATTAAATAGAGGAACTTCTGCCCTAACTTAGTACTAAACATTTGGTTAAATGGGTGCGTGTATCAAATGATTTTTAAGTTTCTATTTTTATTCCTACGATCATTGTTGTCATGTTTTATATATTTGATGTCAGGGAACTTATATATATTAAATCAGTGTTATAAACTTTACTATGCTTGCAAAAGACATCTTCACTGGAAGAGTTAATGCTATTCCTATATTCTATGTTCGAGTGTATGTGTTACGGATAGAGGGTGGTTAGAATTTGGATGGATATATATTGGACTGGCGTTTGTTTTCATGTAGGGTTGTAATATATATATATATATATATATATATATATATATATATATATATATATATATATATATATATATGATCCGCAGTCCTTTAAAAGGGCTGTGGTGAAATAATTTATTATATGGAACCTTAAAGGTGGTCTGTTTTATTTAAATTATTTGCTCTGGATTTACATTGAGCTCTCTGGGTTTTATCCTCCTTAGGTTTACCCATACGGATTACCTAGTTTTTCGTAAACTATATATATATATATATATATATTAAGAAATGGACAAAGGCCACAAAGGAAGTTTATAAGCAGTAAATTCGACCTTGCCTACCGAACGCTCCTTTGTGGCCGAGACGGTAAGGCACGTCAGCCTAAATGACGGTTCCGTATAGGATGCAGGTTCGAATCCTGTCAAAGGACGAATATTTTCTATGAAAATTTCTCGGACATTCAGGCCGGTAAATGTTATTTAATACTGTTTATTATAAACAGAGCATTTACTTAAATACTTGTATCTATATAAAAAAAGAACGTTAAACATAAAAATGTCTTTAATATATATATATATATGAAAAAATTAGATCATCCGATGACGCTAACTTGGTTTCAACCTTTCGGTATCTTCAGGCAATACGGGCTAAATAATGTCGTAATGTTTTAATATTTAAAATAAAAAAAACGCACAACGCGAAGAGTAATAGAAGGGGGAGAAAAGCAAGGATATTGAAATTGTATCGGAACGGAACTATATGAAATATACTTGGTTTCGTCCTGGTTTAAAAGAACTCAAAAGGAAATTTTGAGATAGCGCGATCGGATGATCTTGTTGCGGGTCGTATGCTTAGTGAGGTGTATCAAAAGGTAAATCTTTATAGCGTGAAAGTTATGCGTGTTTGCAATTGGATTATCCCTCAACAAATAGATTACACAATGAACATAAGGACAATTTGCATAGCAAGTAATGACTGAACAACGTGATTAAAGATCAACAATAAAGACATTTTTATATACAATAAATACAGAATTGTTGTTAGTTTGCTAATTGAGATAATTGTTATAATGGAACATACCTATTCTATTGTTAATAGACTCTCCCACCTATAACAATTAGGAGTAGTAGCAGTCGCTGAGTCGGGCCAAGAGTTGGTCAGTCAGTCGATGTCGGACGACCGTTAGTCGGATATTAAAGTACCAGCCATCACAACTAGATTACTGCGTCATTACCTATTATATCAAGTTCCTAACGTTTTGTACGTCGAACCTATTTTAGGACCGACTTAGTACAAATACAAGCCTCCACTTTGAAACCACTACATAACAATAATATTGTGAAGAATGTTCGTGCAGAATTGTGGTAAGTAAATGTTGATGCTTTAGGCTTGTTATTAAAATTAAAATAATTAATTAATAGTTTCTGTGTAGTAAAATATCAAAATGTATTGTTCAACTGTTAGTGTGTGTGTGCGCGTGTGTTATTTATGAGTCAGAATTAAAGTTGCTAAGAGTTGTTTTCCTTTAACTGATAGGCTAAATTGATGAATGTACAATTACTTTGACGTAGTGAAAATGTTCACTCTTTAAGTCAATTGTAGGTGATGCATATCCACGCGGACAATGGTTATTTGAATGCTGCGTTGAGTTTTGTTGAGAAACTTTAAGTGGTTGTGAGTCAGTAAATTAAACAGCGTGGAGTTTGTATGGATCTCTTGAAATTTGATGACTGACTGACTTGAATTGAGTCATGTGTTTGTTTATATAGAATTCTGTCTTTAAAATTCGGCCCCAGGGAGCTTAGGCGGGAAAAGGTTCTGTTGTGACTTTGCTACAGTTTTAGCCAATAGAAGATTGAATTTTACGGAAACGAAATGTTGATTGGTTAAGGTTTTTTTTTATTGAAGGAAAATTTTTTCTGAAAGGGGTGGAAGGTTAATATGAAAGATTCCACACTTTCCTATTTCTTTCAAATTTAAAAGGTCTACATGTTAAATTATTATTTTTATTTTATTTTCTTTATACGTGTGTTGGGTACTTTTTAATACAACTGTTTCCTGGTGTAATTCAAATCTGACCAATAAAACACACACACACATATATATATGTGTGTGTGTCTGTGTGTGTGTGTGTGTGTGTGTATGTGTAGTGCGTGAAAAATCCCAAATTACCTCATATAGATATAGTCTATTTCAGACCGGCACAAACTTATGCCAGTCTTCTTCAGACCTAAAATGACTCCTCAGTTATAATAAATACATTGAGCTCTCTCTCTGTGGATCAGTTTCAATATCTGATATTACTAGGCTCCACCTGGATTATGTACCAACGTACTATATATATATATATATATATATATGTGTGTGTGTGTGTGTGTGTATCACACATTATGAAATGGGCAAAGTCCGACAATTATTTTAAGACATTTTTATGTTTATACATTCTTTTTATATTTACAAATATTTAAGAAAATGCTCTGTTTTATAATAAACAGTATTAAACAACATTTACCGTCCTGAATGTCCGAGAAATTTTCATAGAAAATATTCGTCTTCCGACAGGGTTTGAACCTGTATCCTATACGGAACCGTCATTTGGCTTGACGTGCCTTAACCGATTTGGCTACAGAGGAGCGTTCAGTTAGCAAGGTTGAATTTACAGTATTTGAACTTCAATCTTCTATGATTCTCTCACGAGTATTCATATCTGCTCATGATGTATACAAATATAAATAAATGACGTCACACATTATGAAATGAACAAACTCCGACAATTATATTAAGACATTATATGTTTATACATTCTTTATAGAGATACAAATATTTAAGTAAATGCTCTGTTTATAATAAGCAGTATTAAACAACATTTATCGGCCTGAATGTCCGAGAAATTTTCATTTTTTCCATTTCATAATGTGTGACGTCTTTTGTTTACATTTGGATACATCATGAGCAGATATGAATGTACGCGAGAGAATCATGGAAGATTGTAGTTTAAAGGCAGTAAATTCGACATTGCTAATTGAACGATTTTCTGTGGCTCGTTAGGTTAAGGGCACGCCATGCTAAATGACGAATATTTTCTATGAAAATTTCTCGGATATTCAGACTGGTAAATGTCGTTTAATACTGTTTATTATAAACAGAGTTTTTACTTAAATATTTGTATCTATAAAAAAAAATGTTTAAACATAAAAATGTCTTAAAATGTATATATATATATATATATATATATATATATATATATATACATTGTTCTTAAAACATTTACCCATTCTTTACAGATTTTCTACTTCTTCTATGATATTATCAAAATACGGCATATTTAATAAAAGTGACGAAAATAGACATAGAAAAAAAACTAAACGAATTTCGGTAAACTATATATCTGAACCTACTCTTTTTCGTGTGTAAGTGTAGGTACAAACATCACCTCAATTAGATGAAACCAAACAGACCAAACAGGTCACACAAAATTTATTTTCCACTTTATTATTAGTTTCTCGATGATATATATATATATATATATATATATATATATATATATATATATATATATATATGTGTGTGTGTGCGTATATATATATATATATATATATATATATATATATATATATTGATGTGAAATATCCAACAGTATAGGTAAAAAGTGTAATTTTTAAAATAACTTGAAAAAAGGTATTATTGTATTAACGTTCGACATTTTGCATACACACACACTGACATACTTTTTGCCTATATATATATATATATATATATATATATATATATATATATATATATATATATATATATATATATATATATATATTTGAAGAGACATGCGTGCATATTTTAATCATTCATATATATATATATATATATATATATATATATATATATATATATATATATATATTTTGCAGGATGTTACATTTTATTATTTGCCTCATAAAATCCAGCATAGTGCATCTAATAAAATAAACAAATGTGCTCAAATTTTAACCATCTGTTAATCATGGGTGGTTTATACGGACTCATTGATATTTTGATACGCAGTAAGAACGTCTTTGATATCAGACGTTTCAAGTTGTTTTTATAATTCTTTGAACGTCTGTTTTTTTTTTGTTTTGTTTTTTTGTTTTTTTACCCAAACATGGTGACTCGGCTTTACTTAATTAATGAAGTGATTTAACTTCATTAAATGATAGTAAGACACATACACAAACGCCATCATAAATGTGCATATATATATATATATATATATATATATATATAGATAGATAGATAGATAGATAGATAGATGAATTCACTTCTACATATTCACTCCTCGCCCCTGAAAACACACTGCAGAAACATGACGTCTATACACGTCGCAAGGATCTAGGACATAGACGGCTGTGACATGCTGGGCTCTTCCGGGCATTGGCCGCTACTTAAGAGTGCATATCGCCGCTTCGAGAGAAAGGAGACGCGCATTACTGGGTTACGGGAGAGAAGAATTCATAGCTTTCCCAAGGAAATTCATGAGTTCCAACTGAATACACACAGCTGTCCTTGAACGCTGACTCTTCTCTGCCTTGATCCATACGAAAGATGTGCCGCGGGGAGGCACAGCTCCCTAGGGTAACAGACAACGGAATATGCAACGCAGATATTCGAATGCCCGTTGTTGGATGTCTTCCAGAGGCTGAGAAAAAAAAAAGTATTAACAAATCATCATCATCATCACCACCACCATCATCATCATTATTACCACCACCACCACCATCATCATCCTCACCGTCATCATCACCATCATCATCCTCACCATCACCATCATCACAATCATTGCCAACACTATCACCATCATTGCAATAATCACCACCACCACCACCATCATCACCATCACTATCATCATCACTATCATAATCACCATCATCATCATCACCACCACCACCACCATCATCCCCACCATCATCATCACTATCATCACCACCACCATCATCCCCACCATCATCACCATCATCATTCTCACCATCACAATCCTCACAATCATTGCCAACACCATCGCCGCCAGAACAACCACCATCATCATCACTATCACCATCCCCATCATCATCATCATCATCACCAGCACCAGCGCCATCATCCCCACCATCATCATCACCATTATCACCATCATCATCATCATCCCCATCACCATCATCACAATCATTGCCAACACCATCACCATCATTACAATCATCATCACAACCACCATCACAACCACCATCATCATAATCATCACTATTACCACCACCATCATCATCATTACAATCATCATCACCACCACCACCAGCGCCATCATCCCCACCATCATCATCACCATTATCACCATCATCATTATCATCCCCATCACCATCATCACAATCATTGCCAACACCATCACCATCATTACAATCATCATCACAACCACCATCATAATAATCATCACTATTACCACCACCATCATCATCATTACAATCATCATCAGCACCATCATAATCCTCACCATTACCACCACCACCACCATCACCAGCACCATCATCATCACTATCATCATCCCCATCATCATCATCATCACCCCCCGCCATCATCATCACCATCATCATCCTCCCCATCACCATCATCACAATCATCGCCACCACCACCACCATCATCAATACCATCATCATCACCATCACTATCAGCATCATCACAATCAGCATCAGCATCATGCCAAAAAACGATAATTCAAACAAAAGAAACGAATAAAGGAAAGAAAGAAAAACAACTTGATGAATAATTGTGTAGGCCGAAGAAAGGTCGTTAATTCAAATATAGGACACAATAGATCCAAAAGTAGGTCACTTCCGGTCAAAAAATAAGACAGACTCGTCTGACAAGCGAATTTTGGAATAGATATTTATTTGTACGATAGGACCAAAAAGGGGATTGGGGAAAAAGGACGGTCTTCTTTTGTCTTAATTCTAAACTTAGCTAGTCACAAACACTGACCGAAACACCCACAATAGTCCTACCACCAAAACAGCACAGTCTCTCCTATCCTTTCTTACTACATCCACCATAATACCTCAATGTCTCTGTGAATTCCTAACTAGTCCCGATATGTACCTTTCTTTGACCATCACCATCATCACGATCATCATCATCACCATCATCATCATTATCGACTGTCCGCCGATTTCAACGATGATACGGGAAGGAGATTCATATTCGAATAGTATGATGGCTATCTCTCGGGCCTAATGATCGCTGGTAAACTGGCCAGACTCAATGCTTCGATTGTTGCTACTTTAGTATATACCGTTCGACGACAAACTGGACGGTCCGAAGCTGGCTGTTTCCAGTTTTATCTTCTTTTTGTTTTTTTTTTAATATTGATCTCCTTCGCCTTCAATTTATTTTTGATGCAGACATTATAGCGGAGTCTTTGACCGCTTCACCGACGCTTTCCGCATTTTAGTTCAATTTACAGAGCGATTTTTCTGCAACAGAGTCATCCAAACGATAGACATGCCCAGGCGATCGTCGTCTCACTGTTGCTAGCAGGGCTCCTCCACTTGGAACGTTTACTTTGTCGAGGACTTTGCTGTTCTTTCCACGATATAAGAAATATGAATGTTTCATTAGAAACAAAGAAAGAAATGGTGAACTCTGTTTGCATTATTCGGACTATTGTCCTCATCATTGTCGCCATATTTATTACAACGTTTCGGCCGTTGTACGCTCCAACCTTTTCAGGTGGTTGGAATGTCGAACCGAAACCTTTATTTAAACTCTTCTAGTTTCACGTGCCATGTCTAATAGATGTCAGTTATCAGTTATCTCCTGGTGAATTCCCTCTCCGAGTTCTCCACCGCATTAACCAGGTCTTGAACTCACACTCTTTGGGTCCTGTCATTGAATCTAACTCACACCTTTATCCACTGTATCAAGTGTTCTTGAGGATGCTGAATGCTGAACTGCTACACAATATCTAATCTCTTATAAGGCAGGGAAGGTTAAACAATTTCTTCACAGGAGAAGCGCCGACATAAGACAACAATTTGGATCTACAGAGAGATAGTGAGAATTCAATGAAAAGGCCGTATGAGCAACAAGAAATGTTTCAGGAAAATCACCCGCATCCCCCCGTATTCCATCAGCAAGAGGTTCCACTCAGACAGCTTCTTACTGCGAATCACTGCACTGTGGAACCGGATCCCCGGTTGCAACAATCTTAACCTGTTGGGCACCTCGAGGTAGTGTAATGGTTAGCAAGCTTGTCTCGCTAGAACTATTACGACTGAGTAGTGAGTTCGATCCTCACTGGGTGCTCCATACTTTCGGCCTTGTGCCACATCTGAGTTACGCTTGGAAAATCACTACTAGAATCTTAACCTGTTCAAGTCTAGAGTTAACCGTTATCTTCCCCTCGTTATCCATATAAACTTCCATTTAAAGTATAAAAAAAACACCAAAAAACCGTTGTACGGGGTGAACTCTCTTGTAAAAACAAAACAGAAACAAAAACTAATAATTGTAATAAAAAGTTTATTTTGATATATGAGATATTGTGTTAATCACATATATATGTGTGTTTTATATATATGTATATATATATATATATATATATATATATATATATATATATATATATATATATAAAATAAATAAAGTATATATATATACCAATGATGATAGCATCATTGTTGCCACCTGAAGAAACTTCAGTTTAACGTTGAAACAAAATGTACAATTTTGTAGTGGATATGTACATGTTCTAATGTAACAGTGTATAATAAATAAGTGTTTATTGCTCTACTTTTGTATTGAGTCCTGTTGTAAATTAATGTTTTAAGCGTTGAAATTTTATTCTTCGTTCTTTTTACATTTGTATATATATATATATATATATATATATATATATATATATATATATATATATATCGACCCCCATTTAAGCAAATGGTTAGTACTAAGTTAGGGCAGAAGTTTCTCAATTTAATTGAGAAACACTTCCCTAGAAATAACCCACTTAGTAAGATTTTTAACAGAAATACGCTAAAACTAAGCTATAGCTGTACCGAGGAAAAAACAACATTCGCTGCCTGACGATTGCGCCAAACATGAAACAGCCTGTCGCCTCTGAGTTTTGACTTCAATGTTCACTTTTATATTTATATTTACCTATGTTCTATCTTTGATATTGAGCTGTTCATCCCATAAATATAGCACACCTTAAAAAGTTTATTTCCTTATATATATATATATATATATATATATATATATATATATATATATATATATATGTGTGTGTGTGTGTGTGTGTGTGTGTGTGTGTGTTAATCACATATGTACATTGGTGGCCTATAAGTATTTTTAAATCACAAATAAAGAAAACCTTTATTACACTTATGCGTATATTATGAATGCAGTTTCCGGAAAACAAGATCAGATATTATAAGCGGAAAGTCACGAGGTACATTACACGTATAAATATAAACATATTTGTTTTTAGAAGTCCACCCTAATCATGGGAGAGAAGCCATCGAGATGCAAGCGGGATATTCAGCGTGATAGATGAAGGAAAAAAAAACAAACAGAAACGTTATGGAACAAGAACAATAAAAAGAAGAGGATTCAAGATGACAGTAGATAACGATTGACATTTCATCGAATTTTTTTGTAGATCCGCTTTCAAAGCACGGAGCCGGAAGAGAGCTCCACAATCAAGAAGTACGATTTAAAACCAAAAAAACAAAAAAAAACAACTGGTAGCTTAGAACTTACGATTACATATAGCTGTTTTAATTGTAAATTGTTGTCATTTTGCGCTTAAATTCATTAAATCTAGGCGCCACAGTGAATAGTTCATCAGACCCTTTACCATGAAAGTATTTATAGCAATGGCACAGGAAAGTTACATTATGATGGTTGGATATAAATAAAGTCGAGATGCCAGGACAGGATATCGTGCAATTTTCTTTGGATTTTATCAAGAATCTCTAAATATATATCAGGATCACCGGAATGTATGTGGCGGTAATATTGGAAGGATAAACGAATGGTAGACTTATAAATTTGTGAGGTAGATTCTGGCGAGAAAAATTGTCAAGCAGGAATCAGGTAACCTACTTACTTAGTAGCAGACCTAACAATTGATTCAGTATAATTTTCCCACTCCATGTCAGCAGAGAATGTTCGCCCAACAAATAGAAACAATTCTCAGTGCGGTTAGCATAAACCATGCTGTTTGAAAGCAGAACGGAACCTCTTTGATGATTAATAGAGACATTTTGTTTTGGAAGCGTTAAAATTAACAAGCCATGCTTTGCCTCACTTAACAGCAAATTGTAGGTCATTTTTTTAGATCAGCTGCCAATTTACCGAACAGATTAGAAATACTATTGAGATAGGAGAAAATAGTTGTCTCACCAGCATAGATACCGAAAAGGTGAACTGATGCCATCAGGAAGGTCATTGATTGAAAATTAAGGACAAAGTTGGCCCAAGAATATAGACCTACCGTACACCTGTATTAGTACAAAGATATATAGATGAATGGCTGGTCAGAAATAAAAAAAAAATTTTCGCGATTTGATAAGACAGAGAGAATCAAGTCAAAAATTCGTCCAGAAATATCATAACATTCTTAAAAATGGTTCTACAAAAACTGATTAATGACAATTTTATTGTTAGTACGAT